AAGGTCTTCCATAGTGTGGTCTGGTTGTGCGAAATGGTGTCCTGCAGGTGTGCAGAAGTCATCTTCTTTATGTTCCTTCATACAATGAGAGACAGAATAAAAAAAAAAATTCAGGAAATCACAGAGTGGGAATGCACCTCCATGATTTATAAGTGGGAGAACTTGCAAAATCGCAGGGTGTTCAAATACTTCTGTTCCTCACTGTATACAGGAAACCCACTGACAGATGCAACTACCTCCACTGTTCCAGCTTCCACCCCCAACACACGAAATGTGCCATCATACACAGCCAGGCCATTAGATACCACCGAATATGTTCTGACCCAAGAGACAGAGATACACATCTCGGGACACTAGCAGACTCCTTCCATAAGAAAGGTTACAAGGACAAAACTGTCAACACCAGCATAAACACAGCCTTGAGAACCCCAAGAGAAAATCTACTTCAGTACAAAGAGAAAAAAAACAAACAACCGTGTACCTCTAGTAACCACATACAACCCAGCACTAGAAGGAATAAGAAAAATAATCAAAGATTTACATCCCATCATAACAGAGGATGGAACTCTGAAAGAAATATTCCAGCAACCCCCAATACTGGCTTTCAGACAACCCCCCAACCTCAGAAATAAACTAATCAGTAGGAAACTTCCTTCTGATTATGAGGTGACAAATAATGGAAGCAAACCCTGCAATAAGAAACACTGCAAACTGCAACCAAATCAATCCATCAAAAAGTATCCGACACTCAAAAGGGATCTTCAATATTTCCGGATCATACAGCTGCACCTCCAGTAATGTTGTGTACCTTTATCCAGTGCAGAAAATGTAGCAAAGGATCTTATGTTGGCAAAACAGGACAGAAGTTGCAAACAAGGATGAATTTGCACAGACATACCATCAAGGAACATAAAGAAGATGACTTCGCACAACCACACCACACTGTGTTTTGCCTCAAAACAAAGTGTTTTTAACACTACTACAATCGCTCACTAATACACGGATTAGGCTTAATAAATATTAAAGCAAAACATGATTTATTGAATAAGTTCTGTTAGTATAATAACATAAGAATTGTCAGAATTGCAAATCATATTTAGATCATATTATAGCAAGCGTAAAGCATCAATACATCACCGGATACTGTAGCATCACCCGTTGCCCAACGATTAGGGGACTTCAGCAATCGGCAAAGGGGAATCGGGAAATCATCGCAAGGCACGTCTTCAGTAAGTCTCAAATTCCCCTAGAATCCTCCGTCTTTTATATACATAATTTACAGTGTCCTTGCTACTGCCATGCGCAGTAAACTCTGTGTAATTATTGTGACTATTAACTTGACTTGTTCGACTATACATCTTGTCACTATGGGGTTTATTTACTAAAGCTGGAGAGTCCAAAATCAGACTCCCTTCTGCATAGAAACCAATCAGCTTCCAGGTTTCATTGCCAAAGCTTCATTGAACAATCTGAGGTTAGAAGCTGATTGGTTTCTATGCAGAAGGGAGTCTGATTTTGGACTCTCCAGCTTTAGTAAATAAACCCCTATGAGTCCTTGACTGATTGCAACTGCACATCTGGTAACTATGAATCATAGATCTAGCCTTGATAGATTTTAACAATGTCTTTGTCTTATTATTCTAAACTCTAGTTATCCCTCCACTGATGTGTCCTACTAAAATTATGGCAATTGAGTGTCAGTCATCCTTCACACATACATTCTATACACCCATGTCACATATGTATCACACTATGGAAGACCTCAATATTTTAGTTCTTAAAGGAAATTTCAAAACTATTCAGGAAAGGAAAACGTTTGAACTAAGAATGATATTTCTAATTGACACAAGAGATAATGGCCTTAATTTGGCCTTAATTTGGACATGGGATTCCTCACTCATTATCCAACAGTTTTACGAACCCCCCCCCCACCCCCACCCCTCCCCCTTTGTGAGTGTTGTTTCCCCCCCCAGTCTTTGCTTTTGCTGTGACTTATCTCTAGTCTAATCCTAGTTTTATAACCATTGCTGTGTACATTTGTGTGTATGTGTTTCTTTCTGTTTTTTTTTTTTTGTTTTTTTTCCCCCCTTTCAACATCTCTTTTAACATTCTGCTAAAACTTTGTGAAATAGTACTGCCTGGACCTTGAAGAAGGGGACATGCCCCGAAAGCTTGTCCTCAAAATTGTATGTTCGTGCAAATAAAAAAAAGTATAATGTCAGTACTCGATTGTTTCTGTTGCAAGTGCACTAATATGACTACAATCACCTCGTTGCTATAAGCAAGCATTTTACTGAATGAAATCGATTAATTCAGGTTTTTTTTTTTTTTTTTTGTGATTGGCCACAGCTAATCACATGATACTGATGGGCTGTGATTGGCCCAACCTGTGCATGTGATCGCTCTGACTATTCACAGCTAGACACAATTGTATACAATTGATGGCATGAGAGGAAGCCATCCATTGTATACAACTGTCATGTGACCTGCTGTGATTGGTCACAACAGGTCACATGGTACTGGCAACGGGGCTGGTACACAGATCTGTCATCGGCCGTGTCAGAGGTACATGGCAAGTGACAAATCTCGCTACAGTGGGGCCCTGCGGGCATATTACAAAGCGCGATCCAGGAAAGACATCATATGACGTGCTCCTGGAGGGACAAAGTGGTTAAAGCCACAGAGAAAAAATATAGTACAGGCTCAAAAAATGTAATCAAACGTTTGTTTTTTCTCATTATGCTTTTCAGCTTCTCAATAGTGTTGAGATTGAAAAGGTGTTTAAAAGTTGCGCTACTAGCAGGTAAAACTAATAAAACAGCTTGTGTAGACAAGCCTTAAAGAACGCTGATTATAGCGATGCTGTTCTGGGCTCATAATTCAGTGGTGGAGACTTTTATTATAGTGGGTAAAGCTCGGTGTCATGAACTGCAAAAGCCCCTCAAGACATTTTGACGCATGTCAAGAATAAATTATCAGTGTGTGCTTTATTGTTTGTAGTCTTTGGCAGACTTCCTATTTTGTGTGCCACATAATGACAAGACAACGAGCTGAGAAGCAAACTCTCAATGTAAAAGAGGAACAATTTAATTTATAAGCAGAAACCTTTGGGAGAAGAAAGAACCTTTTGTTTAACCGTGTTTGCCACTGAGAGTCTGTTTGATTTTTGTTTCCCAGGCTGGCCTGGATATTTATCACATCTTTTACATGCACGTACAACACATTAGGCTGCTGAATTTAGGATCCCCCCCTCCCAAATTAAAAACAAAAGCAAGAGGAGATAAATTCTGAAGGCCTTGAGTTTTCCTACACAAAGCATTTTAGCCTACCATCTTTGTAGCATCACTGGCTTCTTGAAGGAATCCCACAAGTAAAACATTCTTCATTTGAGCATCGACCCCGGTCATGCTGTGTCTGTCTTTTGGATTGATAGCCAACCCTCATTCTGCTATGACTTTTTTTTTGCCTCCATCAATGCCATTCATTTTCCTATGCTTTAGCTGCTATTTTCACCATTTTCTGCACTTGTCTCTGAAAATAGGAATACCCTGTTATCTGCTAACTGTTGAAGGAAAAGTTTGGAGTTGAGCCTACCCTGCCCACTTCTCTCCCCCCCCCCCCCCCCCCCCCCCCATTTTCCCTGTACCACTCTACTTCCCCAACACGACACTCCTATTTGGACCTTCTACCTCTTGTTTATTGCTTTACTGGTTCAACCGTTTTGTTTTCTGTACACTGTAACAGACACTGGTTACAGGTTCCTCACACTAGTCAGATATGACAACTAGCTGTCTACAAACTAGGATTGCCTCAGGTAATCTGGCAAAGTACTTTAAACTTTTTTCCCCTTTCGGGACTATGGAATATAAATTTAGTTCCCATGGTTACCTGCATTATTCTCATTCTAACACTTGATTGTATTCTGTGCAGAGCTGTACTGTGTTTGTTCGTTTCAGTATGTTCAGTGTTTCACTTGCAACAGAAACAACATCTTGTTTACAGATCAAAATGTCTCAACTCTCATTTGCATATACAACAAAATGAATTAAAGGATTGATTTACCCCCCCACTCTTTCCCTCTCTTACTGCCTGTTCAGATAGGTCGGAGAGGAAGTTTCATTTTTATAATGTCTGACAGTAAACAGCTTGTTATGTGCTTTCTCCTTAGAAAATACATAATGCTCTGCAAATACTTTCCATAGGTGCACCTTTGAATTAAAGTGGCTGTAAACCTTTCCATACACCTAGTGAAGTGACTGGCCTCAGGTGATACACAAGGATGAAACAAATCCTTCTCTGCATTCTTCTCTTCTCTACTTCCATTCAAAGTTCAGAAGTTATAAAGTTTGTCTGAGCAGTCAACAAAAAGGGGGCGGAAAGTTGAAGTTACACTCTACAGAGCTCAGCACGGAGAGCTAATTGGAGGGAAGGGACACACCCCCTGCACACAGGAAAGAGCTAATTCTGTCAATCAGTCGGAGATCCCTCCCCTGTTACCATTTTTTCTCTTGGTGCCACGAAACCTTTTCAGAAGTGACTTCTGCTGATAGCAGAGGAATGAAACTGTAGACCGAAACGACACTTCGTGCTCTTAATTGAGACAAGCACACACTATAGGGACATGTTTTGCTCATATTTTATGTCTGACATTTACAACAACTTTAAAGTATAAGTGTAAATTCTAGCATTTATTTATTTATATATATATATATATATATATATATATATATATATATATATATATATATATATATATATATATATATATATAAAAGATGTTTATCATAAGGGAGTATTTTGCAATGTACTAAACAAAACGTAAACCTAAATATTAGTCGGAGTGAGTTTCTGCTCTTTGTCCTTTCTTTAGACTTTGCTCTGGGATAATTGTAGTCCATTATATCGGTGTTGCTGGGTGATCATATACAACTGTAAATGGAGACTAGCTTACATATTGGCAATAATACTAATATTCTTTGTATCTTATTTAATCTCTGCAGTGTAATGGAATGTCAAATCGATTTTGGGGATGGGGTCGTGAGGATGATGAGTTTTACCGAAGAATCAAAGGAGCTGGACTCCAGGTAACCTCTAGATCATATGGGGCCATAATGGCCTATCGCCAAGCGTGAATGTTGCCACTTGGTTGCAAAATTTCTTTATATATGCATTTATTATATTGTAAAAACTGATTTCTGTATGTAGTTTGTGTATGTACAGTTTGTATTTGCCTTTACACTTGGTAACCATAACCATGGTTGTACTCACAATGCTAGTCCATAAATCAGCCAGCTCATTGAAAACAATGTTGATATCTTATCTCAGTATCTTGAGAAAAGAGATTCTGTTATTAACTTACAAATAGCTGCAGATAAAAGTGCAGAAGACGCTTTTTTTAAATGTTTGCTTGCAATGTTTTACTTTCCATAAATTCCTATTTTAATCACTCCCAAAGTTTCTTTGAACTTGCTTAAAAAAAAGATTTGGCAATTCCCTAGCACAGTTCCCTCCCTTCTTCTTTGAGGGTCTAATTACAACTCTGCTGACCTAAGTCCTCCATCGATCCCTTCACCCAAACGAACTGGGTGAAGTTATGTACCTTCCTGGAAAGTAAGCAATGGAGAACACTTTAGAGAAGGGGTAGGCAACCTTAAAGAGGTGGAGATCTACTTGAACAAAATGGCAGATGTCAAAGATCACCGGGCACAGTGCTGCCTCCTCACACCTGATTTAAACCTTTAATTGCTGTACTACCGTGTCACAATTGCGTACATTGCACAACAATCATGGGTTTAAATCGGGTGGCGAGGACGCAGCATATCACCTCTTCACCGCCTGTCAAACATACTCAGATCGCTTTGCAGAGGAGCAGCAGTGGCTGCTGCACTTGTGGATAAACTCTTAGCTGCATCTGGCAGCAGCACCCTTAGGGCTCGTTCATATGTAAAGTTGGGGGGAGATAAAAATCTTGTAGCTGAGTCACGGTTTTACCTCCCTGAATCCCTAGCCCCCTTTAGCTGCTGAGTCAGTATGCAAAGGTGTACACGTGCCATAGTAGGAATTACACCACCCCCTGTTGCTTTTGGTGGGTGCTACCACTTGCCAATCAGACCCATACAAGTAAATGGGATCAATTTTTAAGCGCCCCATAACTACATGCTTCTACGGGGTCCAAGGGGTTAAAGCAGGTGGTGAGAAAGCAACACACTGCTGCCTCTTTAACCCTTTGTTTGCTGTACTGAACAAGGTTGCAGAGCGGCTTCATTCACTCGAATGGGTCATGCTTGGCAGATGCTACAACCACCAACCATGACAGGGCGTAGGAGCAGCACTACAGAGGAGGAATCGGCTTATGCGGCTCTTGCTCCCTACTACAGCTAAAACTTTACAAGTAGTCCCTCTGCATTGCAGTCTGTTCGATTTTCTGGGATGGCAGGTCACTAACCTCAGACCGAGATCTACCAGTCACGTGGCCAAGATCTACTGGTAGATCACAATCTACTGGTTGCTGTCCCCCATTTTAGAGTGTCCCTGGGGTGACAGCTCTGAGTCTGCTGGGGCTGCTGACATCACATCTAAGATGACAGTACTCAACAGCAGCCTCTGGGTACAAGGGAGTTTTTTCACAGATACAGTGAAGGAAATAAGTATTTGATCCCCTGCTGATTTTGAATGTTTGCCCACTCACAAAGAAATGATCAGTCTAAAAAAAATCGAATGGTAGGTGTATTGTAACACTGAGAGACAGAAAAGCAACAAAAAAATTCAAAAGAAATGCATGTCTAACAAATGATGCACTGATTTGCATGTTCATGAGGGAAATAAGTATTTGATCCTCTATCATTCAGCAGGATTTCTGGCTACCAGGTGTCTTTCATAAAGGTAACAAGCTGAGATTAGAAGGTAGTGCTGCTAATCTCATTTTGTTACCTGTATAAAAGACACCTGTCCACAGGAGCAATCAAACAATCAGATTCCAAACTCCCCACCATGGCAAAGAGCTGTCCAAGGATGTCAGGGACAAGATTGTAGACCTACACAAGGCTGGACTGGGCTACCAAACTATCGCCAAGCAGCTTGGTGAGATGGTGACAACAGTTGGTGCAGTCATTCGCAAATGGAAGACACACAAAACAACTGTTAGTCTCCCTAGGTCTGGTGCACCATATAAGATCTCACCTCGTGGAGTGTCAATGATCATGAGAACAGTGAGGAATCATCCCAGAACTACACGTGAGGATCTTGTCAATGATCTCCAGGCAGCTGGGACCACAGTCACCAAGAAAACAATTGGTAACACACTATGCCAACAAGGATTGAAATCCTGCAGTGCCTGCAAGGTCCCTCTGCTCAAGAGAGCACATGTCCAGGCCCATCTGAAGTTTTCCACTGAACATCTGAATGCTGCAGAGGAGGACTGGTTGAAAGTGTTGTGGTCAGATGAGGCCAAAATCGAGCTCTTTGGCATCAACTTAACTCGTGTTTGAAGGAGAAATGCTGCCTATGACTCCAAGAACACCATCCCAACTGTCAAACATGGTGGTGGAAACATTCTGCTTTGGGGGTGTTTTTCTTCTAATGGGACAGGACAACTGCACTGCATCAAAGGGACGATGGACGGGGCAATGTACCATCAAATCGTGGGTGCGAACCTTCTTCCCTCAGCCAGGGCATTGAAAATGGGTCGTGAATGGATGTTCCAGCATGACAATGACCCAAAACACACAGCCAAGGCAGCAAAGGATCAAAGACTCGCCAGACCTTAATCCGATTGAAAATCTGTGGAGAGAGCTGAAAGTTCGAGTTGCCAAATGTCAGCCACCAAACCTTAACGACTTGGAGAGGATCTGCCAAGAGGAGTGGGCCAAAATCCCTCCTGAGATGTGTGCAGACCTGGTGGCCAACTACAGGAAACGTCTGACCTCTGTGATTGCCAACAAGGGATTTGCCACCAAGTACTATGTCATGTTTTGTGAAGGGGATCAAATACTTATTTCCCTCATGAACATGCAAATCAGTGCATTTTTGTTAGACATGCATTTCTTTTGAATTTTTTGTTGCTATTCTGTCTCTCAGTGTTACAATACACCTACCATTCGATTTTTAGACTGATCTTTTCTTTAAGAGTGAGCAAACATTCAAAATCAGCAGGGGATAAAATACTTATTTCCTTCACTGTAAATAACATGCATAAAATACCTTAAATGCACAAGTAAATGTATGGGAAGAATGTAGGTGAAATGAGAGAGAGAGAGAGAGAGTTCTCTTTCTGATCTCTCCGGCTGTTGGGCAGATCATCAAAGTAACTTGTGTAGTCTCTGTAGTAGCTCAGCTATAATTCTAAAATTTGTGATTAACATATGGAAAAGCACACTTAAAAAAAAAAAAAAAAAAAATGTATGCCTTTGGATCTTTGTAGCAGTTTACGGTTTGTTAACATTCTCTGTATATGCACAATGTCTTTCTAAATAAATAATTAAAAAAAAAAAAGTGAAATCACATTAAAATTTAAAGTGAATTTGCACCCAGATTATGCACAAAGTATTTACATATTCTGAATAAGAAGTAAAACACTTTAATGACTAGTTAACACTACATTCAATGTTGTTGTCAAATATGCATTTAATAAGTTTTCAGTGTGGTGTGTTTTTTCAAGTAAAAAAAAAAAAAAAAGTGTTTTGTGTGTTTGCATGCACTCTGATGCAAAAAAAAAGCATGCTGCTGTACTTGCACCTTCGCACCTGAAAGCATTTGAAGTTGAGTCCTAAAACAAACCCTCATCTCTGTAGTCATAGGCCTGTTGTTTGCTGTGATTTGTTTGAGACTGAATAGTTTTTACATTGCAAGCCTGCTAGAGAAGTCAGGGGCTGGTAAAGAACTCCTTGGCTGCTAGATAATTTATATGTAAATCATTTATTGTCCATATTCTGGGCACAAATTTACTTTAACCCTTTGCCTACAGGGCACTTTTACCCCCTTCCTGCCAGGACAATTTTCAGCTTTCAGTGCTGTTACACTTTGAATGACAATTGCGCAGTTATTCAAAACTGTACCTAAACAATTTTTATAATTTTTTTGAGACGGAGCTTTCTTTTGGTGGCATCACCGCTTTTTTTATTTTTTGCTAAACAAACTAAAAAAAGACTGAAAATTAAAAAAAAAAAAGTTAGTTTCTGTTATAAAATTTTGTAAATAAGTAATTTTTCTCCTTCACCGATGTGTCCTAATGAGGCTGCAGTGATGGGCACTGATGAGGAGGCACTGATAGATGGCACAGGCATCACTGAAGGGCACTGAAAGGCAGCACTCATATGGCATGGATAGGTGGCACTGACAGGCGGCACTGATAGTTGGCACTCAAAAGCAGCTCTGATCGGCACCATTAGGTGGCATTGATGTGTATTTATTTTTGGCTGCAGGAGCCTGTAAAGCATTGCACCAGCAATCAGATCTCTGGTGCCATGCAGGTCTCCTGCAGTCCTGTCAGTATGTCTGCTTGCCTGTACGGGATGTACAGCAGTGGCTGTAGCATTGGGAGCATGTTTATATGTTCCAGCCTAAAAATGAGTGGAACATGTAACATGTTTCTAAGATTAACTTATCCTTTAAAACGTGCTTTTGGTGGGAAAATTTAGTTTTAGAGTTATAACCAAGTTAAGCAATTCATGCGGACATAGCTAAGCTTGGTCTGGGTATTAAATGCTTTAGGAGGGCAGACGTCCTTTCAATAGCAACAGTAGAAATGTTCCAGTAAATGATCATTTACAATTTGACCATTCAGCTGTATGTAATGAACTCTTAATGCTTGATTTTTTCAGCTCTATAGGCCCTCTGGAATAACAACTGGATACCAAACCTTCAGGCATATTCATGACCCCGCATGGAGAAAGAGAGACCAGAAACGGATTGCTTCTCAGAAGCAGGTATACTTATAGCACCATAGAAAAGAACCATTGAGCTTGTCAATGTTTTTGTACTGGCAAAGAGAATAAAGAATATGACATATGCTCTTGCAAAGTTAATTAGTACTGCAATGTACTATATGAAGCATGCACTGAAATGCAGGGTTCTGTTCTGTAATCAGACACATGCTAACAAAAATGTTCTGTAACAGTTGTGGTCACATTTGTTACTAATGCGGAAAAAAAAAAAACCCTGAAATATGCAGTGAAATGAGAATGATATATGTATGTCATAATAAATAATAAAGTTTCAAAAGTGTTTTCAAAATTGTTCTAGGTAAAAACTTCAGCACATCCCATTATTAAAAGTGCCTGTCTGAAGTAAGCATGTATAAACCCTCCTGAGCTGCAAATAATTCTATGTATCTTCCTGCACCAATGTTTCTTTTACAATGGATTTTATTATAGAATAGACAATGTCAGAGTAACAGTCAGAAACCAGAGCACTGACCAACAAGAAATAAAACTTTACAAGTTTTCTGATGAATAGTACAAAAAAATGCACAGAAGTATAGACCAAGAAATAAACTTAGTACACAAGTGCAGCATATGAAGAGATAAAATAAAGCGTCACAATGTGCAAAAATGGTGGGCAATTAGAGACCAAGGAATTGGTACACAACGATCAAAAATCAGCACACGATCTGCTTACAAAAGGCAGGAAAGGTGGAACATAGAGCCTCACCGGATGCACACTGGCATTCCACATCCAGGACTCCTGAAGAAGTCCAACAGAGACAATATTGCTGGTCCTGCACCAATGTTTCATTCACATAAAAGGTCCTCCATCAGAATTCCAAATCCTTCAGTTGGAATAAATTAAGTGATATTTTTTTTTTTTTTTTTTCCTCTCTCCTTTTTTGAAAGGGTACCCACTTTTTCTTTATTAAAATTTTCCTCTTTTGCAGGGAATTTACAGTATTTGTGTAAACCAAATGGTAAACTGCCAATTTAATTACAGGCTGTAACCCTAAAAATGTGAAAGATTATAACATGGGACATGAGACTTAGTGTTACAGAGTCTGCAAGACCTGTAGCAGCAGATCGTTTCCCTATAAAATTGTATACGCTGTGTTGGTTTGATGGGATACGTTTAGTTTTACCAAATAATTACATGTTCTCTCTTCTCTTCCATACATTGCAGGAACAGTTCAAAGTAGACCATGAGGGAGGTTTACACAGCGTCCAGTATCGTGTGGAATCTCGATCAGAATTAACCATTGGTGGTGCTCCATGTACAGTGCTGAACATACTGCTGGATTGTGACATGAGTGATACTCCATGGTGTGTTTTTAACTAAATTCATAAAGTATTTAATGACTCAAAGGACTGAGATGGCCTGGATTCCAGGCAGACATGTGAATCTGTAGTTAGATATGAACTGTATAAAATTTTATATATTCTAATAAAATGATGGAAAATCTTATGCTGTCTTGTTACTCACCCAGCTAATACTACATTGCCGTTTTGTTACGCCAACATTTAGATAGGTGTTGCATACAGTTATACCCTCCTATCCTTTTGAAGACATGGACGATGCCATCCTAGCCTCTATTTGGGTATACAGTTGTCGTAGTGCTGCACATGTGATCAACTATGATACCAGCCATTTGTTGACTTTAAAGTTAGTTTAACCCTTTGGCGCTGATGTCTCCTTGCCCTTTTAAGGGTTTTGTGACACTGGGGGGTTTGGGTCATGTGACCACGGTGGCACATGATCGGAAAGCTCCCAACTGCAAGTAGTGATCAGGACCTTTCTGTGAAGCGCCGGTAAATGTTGTGGGAGCTCCCGGCACAACTTCTGGTTACAATGGGTACGCAAACATGCGTCCCCTTGGCGCCAAGGCCCAGCCACCGAGAGGCCACATATTTGTGTGTGCTCGATGGCAAGAGGTTAAAGTTTGCGACCTGACATTAAAGCTGGCCTTAGATGCTAGCAATAATCGCATGTAAAATCCAACAGGCTGGTTGTACCCAAGTTGATTGATCGATCAATTTGGGTACATTCAGCTTGCCCATACATGATTCAAATCTTGGCTGGTCCCTGCTGAAACTGCAGAGATTTGAACTGTGTATGGCCGGCTTAACAACAGCGATGTTATCCCTAGAGGCACTTATCAACTAGTCTGCAGAAAAACAAAATCTAGACAATTTGAAAATGCCTGGTGTTGTGTTTTTTTTTTTTTTTTTTTTGTTTTTTTTAATGCAAGTTTTTTTTAAATATATGGAGTGTGAAACCAGACTGCCACACCAAGGCACCTATAAAAAGTGTGGTCTTAAAGTAAAAAACTGAACCAAGCCAAATTTGTACCTTTCCCTCCTGTACCGCCAGCTACCTTTGTCTATATCAGGAACCATACAGAGAGTTTTGAACTTTCTTCCTACTAGTTTGGGGTCATGTCTTTGAGTTTTTTGATTCTGTCTTCATATTGCAAATACTGCTGTCCAGAACCTTATTCAGACAGTTACTGGTTTTAACGATTTCATTCATTCATTTCCCTTCTTTCTCAACTCAGGATTAGAGGACCCCTTTAAAAAAATTTTTTTATTTTTGCTACTTTTTGTCATACCACATTCCTAGTGCTCCCAGTGATTACATTACACCTTTACAGGCTATAAAAGGCAGTTTTCCATACTAAAAATGCATTATTTTCTATGACCTGCAGTGGTTTTTTCTTTCTTTTTTTTTTTTTTTTTAATTTATCTGCCAATATTCCATATGGCTGTGCTGTTCCAGTGCTCAGGGTTGCCATACTTAACGACTTTCTGCATTTATGCCATATTGTAAACTTTACGGTTTGAATGAATGCCAACTTGAAAGGTGGAATATCCATATGTCTGTTTTTAAAGCACTAAATCGTGTTTCTTGCGGCATTTCTGCACTGTGGTTGACAGGTAAGTAAACAGTCAGTCGTCATATGAAAATTTGACTTTGCCTGTAAAATCTGAGCCTCACTGCCCAAGCATCCCTTTTCATACTTTAATTTAATGGGTGACCTCAATAGGGTAATCGGAGGGATAAGATCAAGCTCAACTTTTACAGGATTAGCCAAGATTTAAAAGAACTTCAGCTGCCTATATACAGTATATCTTGCTTGGGATTTTTCACGGAAAGGAAACCTATACTGAGAACATTTGTAGCCAACTGTTCCTGATCTCTCATTTGACTCAAAGTACCGAAGACCTTGCATCGACGACCAGAATTTTCAAAGGTCTGATTTTCCTGTAATTTCACTAGCTGCATGTTTGTCTTGAAATAGTGGCTCAAAATATTGAGACCAGAGGTAACCAGGCTATTAGCTTTTCCTAGGCAGTACACAATGGCAGTCTTATGGTTTCTTTCATCAGAGGTTTCCTCTGTTAATGCATTATTTGCATCATATGCTTGGCTTCAATTGTCCAGGGTTGTCAGGTTTTCTTCTACCCCCTTTTCTACTCGGGTACATTTTTAAATGACCGGCACCCCTATATTTACCCAGTGCCATTTATAAACGGCAATGTATAAACAGCTGTCAGGGAGCTGATCTGCCTACTGTGTACCAAGCTGTCATTTTATGGCTCGGCACTGTACCAAACCTATCCAAGGGGATTGTGTGATTGGTCAACAGGGCAATCACATGGTATTGTTTACAGTGTTGATCCTGCCCCCATCCCTTACAAGAGGGGAAGGAGAGACATTGAGTATTTGTAAATGGGGAAAGAAGAATGAATGAATCTGCAGCATCATTCATTCTGCTTCAGTTGACAAAGGGATTTTTATGATTTTAACCCAATCGTTCCCCCTCCTCTCCTACACATATTATGTCTATGCTGTCACTGTGGGAATTATTTACTAAAGGTGGTTCACTCAGAATCTTGAGCACCTGTGCATGGTAGCCAATCAGCTTCTCAACCTCAGCTTGTTCAATTAAAGGATAAGTTCACCTTTTAACAAAATACAATAAATGCACTTTTTTTTTTTTTTTTTTTTTTTTTTTGTAGGTAAAAAAAATGTGTATTTATTATTTTTTGTTTATGCAGCCCCTAAAATATTGCATCATGATCAACAGATTGCTGGTGCCATGCAGGTCTCCCCTGACCTGTCAGTATATCTGCTTGCTTGAACATTCCATACGGGCAAGCAGATACTTACTGGCAGGAAGGCTCAATGAACTACCACGGCGCTCCACAGATACTGACAGGTCAGGGGGAGACCTGCATGGCACCAGCAATTCACTGAAAACTAGAAGCCGACAGCTGCAAAAGCTGCTGGAACTTGTAGTTTTCCCATTCACAGAATACTGTGAATGAATGACACGGCCAGGTCGGCGAAGTTCCACACAACTGTGTTTTTCTTTTCAATTTGTGACAGCTAGCAGGAAGGAGAAGATCCCCCGCTAGCTGTCACAATGTGGATCGGGAGGTGCAGGGGTTGGTCCGATTGTAACATGTTATATGTTTATACCGTGAATATGGGTGCAATATGTTACAAAAGGTGAACTTATCCTTTAACCACCGCCCGCCATATAGTACAATGACGGGCGCAAGGTGGTTCTCTCGTTCTGATAGGACGTCATATGATGTCCTTCCATTCTCACTGCGCATGCGCGGCTCAGGGAGCGCACAGCGCGGCGATCGCCGTTGTGCTGTGTCCCTCGGACACAGCGGATCACAGAAAGAGCCGAAGATGGGGACAGGGCACTGATGATCAGTGTGGCCCCAGAAGTGTCACCTGTCAGTGTCCATCAGTGCACAACAATGCCACATATCAGTGCCCATCTGAGCTGCCTTTCAATGTCACCCATCAATGCCAGTCAGTGCTGCCTATCAGTGCCATATATCCGTGTCATATATCCGTGATGCCTGTCAATACTCATCAGTGCAGCCTATCAGTGCCCATCACTGCAGCCTCATTAGTGCACATCAGTGAAGGAGAAAAATCACTTGTTTACAAAATTGTAAAACAAAAACTAAGAAAAAATAAAAATCCCAGAGGTGATTAAATACTACCAAAAGAAAGCTCTGTCTCAAAGAAATATAATTTCATATGGGTACAGTGTTGCATGACCGCGCAATTGTCATTCAAAGTGTGACAGCACTGAAAGCTTGAAATTGGCCTGGGCAGAAAGGGGGTATAAGTGCCCAGTAGGCTAGTGGTTAAGCTTTAGCAATAAAACCTGTAAACTGATTGACTTCTATGCAGAAACGCATGAGATTCTGTGTGAACCAGCTTTATCAAATAAACCCCTATGTGACCTGTATATTAGCACTTTCACCTCCCTTATTGTGCACATCTGAACATTAACCCCTTCATCTTTATCCTGCTACTGTCTGTGACCGGTACATTAACCTTCACTCCCTCTTTTTTTGTGTATGAGCTGTACATTAATGTATCTAGTGCACTGATGCCAAATTCCATGTTGTAACCTGGTCACACCAGTATATTTCTTTATTTCCAAAAAGTTGTGGGAAAAAAAAAAAATCTACTTTTCAAAATTGATAATTTTTAGGGGTTTCATGATATCTTGGCTTTTTTTTTTTATCTTAGCAGAAATTAAGGGAAACTATTTTTTTTATATATAAAATAACACCAAACGAAAACTCTGTTTCAAAAACTATATAAAATCCATTTGTGTACAGTGTTGCATGCCTGAGTAATTGTCAGTCAAACTACAACATTAAAAACTGACCTGGTAAAGGAGTATTACAGGTGGTTAAGGAATGAATCGGTATTCTGCTGGAATTTATTTATTTATTTTTTTAACCACTTGAGCTCCAGAGGATTTACCGCCCTTAATGACCAGGCCTCTTTTTGCTACTCGGCGCTGCACTAATTCAACTGATAATTGCGCGGTCATGCAATGCTGCACCCAAAGGAAATTTACATCCTTTTTTTCACACAAATAGAGCTTTCTTTCGGTGTAATTTGATTACCTGTGCGCTTTTTATTTTTCACGCTATAAACAAAAAAAGGCCAAAAATTTTAAAGAAAAACCATATTTTTTACTTTCAGCTATAAAAAAATATATAGTAAACTCAAAGTTAGTTATAAATTTAGGCCAAAATGTATTCTGCTACATGTTTTTGGTAAAAAAAATCCCAATAAGTGTATATTGATTGCTTTGTGTGGAAGTTATAGCGTCTACAAACTATGGTATAGATACTGCAATTTACGCCATTTTTCTGCTATACAGCGCTGCGCTAGTTTAACGGACAATTGCGCGGTCTTGCAATACGGTACATGAAATTTACATCCTTTTTTTTTTCCCCACAAATTGAGCTTTCTTTCGGTGGTATTTGATCGCCTGTGCGGTTTTTATT